GGGTTCAGGGAAGGGGACACCAGGAAGAGCAGCTGAGCCTCCCTGGGAGCACAGGCAGAAATGCAGGCAGAAGCTTTGGAGGGGGCTGCCAGGCTGCCCAGGCTTCAAAATACTCTGTTGCCTCAACAGTTTCTATTTTCTTTGAGCACTGAATGTTTTTGCAGGAGAGGGGGAAAAAAACTTGGAGAGAAGAAGACCAATATTCTCTCTAAAAGCAGACCCAATGGAAAATTTTCAGTCAGCCCTATTGAGTACACCAGGGCTTGATTTACTTTTTGCCTTGCATGATTACCTCTTTCGTTAACATTCGAGACAGGCAGCAGGCAGAGATAAATCCTGAATAACTCCAAACTTTCCTTCTCCCATCTCTCCCAGCGTTAGGCTGGTTCAGACAAAGCCTGTGCTGGAGGATGGCTGCAAGGAAAGATGTTCTGATTACCATAGAAATAGGGGCAGTGCAATCCCGAAAGAGCTCGGCTCCTGCACATTCTCCTCCGAGCATGAGCAAATCCATGTTTCACCAGCAAGCTGGGATGCCCTGTTATCAGAGCAGGTCTTTGCTGGCTGGCACCAACGCAGAAGGTCACGGCATGTGTTATGTCCATCAACTCAAGACAATTTCAGAAGGATGTGAGCATCCTTGAATGTGTCCCAAGGAGGGTAACAAAGGTGGTGAAAGGGCTGGAAGGTGTCCTGTGAGGAGCAGCTGAGGGCTTTGAGCATGTCTCGTTTGGAGAAAGGGGGCGCTGAGGGTGTTGCTCTCTACAGATTCCTGAGGAGGGGAAGCGGAGAGGGAAGTGCTGAGCTCTTCTCCCTGGTATCTAGTGACAGCACACATGAGAATAGTTCAAAGTTGTGCCAGGGGAGGTTTAGACTTGACATCAGGAAGCATTCCTTTGCAGAGAGGGTGGACAGGCATTGCAAGAGGCTTCCTAGAGAGGTGGTTTAAGGGACATTTGGATAGTGCCCTTAAAAACATGCTTGAACTTTTGGTGAGCCCTGAATCAGTGAATTGGTGTTGGGCCCAGTCCTGTTTAATATCTTTATCGATGATTTAGATGAGGGCATTGAGTCCACCATCAGCACATTTGCAGATGACACTAAGCTGGGGGGGAGTGTTGATCAGTTGGAAGGCAGAAGGGCTCTGCAGAAGGACCTGGACAGACTGGAGAGTTGGGCTGATTCCAGTGGGATGAGGTTCAACAAGGCCAAGTGCCGGGTCCTGCACTTTGGCCACAACAACCCCCTGCAGTGCTACAGGCTGGGGACAGAGTGGCTGGAGAGCAGCCAGACAGGAAGGGACCTGGGAGTTTGGATTGACAGGAAGCTGGACATGAGCCAGAGTGTGCCCAGGTGGCCAAGAAAGCCAGTGGCATCCTGGCCTGGATCAGGAACAGTGTGGCCAACAGGTCCAGGGAAGTGATTCTTCCCCTGGACTCAGCACTGGTGAGGCCACCCCTGGAGTGCTGTGTCCAGTTCTGGGCCCCTCAGTTCAGGAAGGATATTGAGGTCCTGGAGCAGGTCCAGGGAAGAGCAACAAGGCTGGTGAAGGGACTGGAGCACAAGTCCTACGAGGAGAGGCTGAGGGAGCTGGGGTTGTTGAGCCTGGAGAAGAGGAGGCTCAGGGGAGACCTCATCACCCTCTACAACTCCCTGACAGGAGGTTGTAGCCAGGTGGGGGTTGGTGTCTTCTCCCAGGCAGCATCAGTAAGGCAAGAGGGCATGGTCTTAAGCTGTGCCAGGGGAGGTTTAGGTTAGATATTGGGAAGAAATTCTTTACAGAGAGGATAATCAGGCATTGGAATGGGCTGCCCAAGGAAGTGGTGAATTCTTCATCCCTGGAGGTTTTTAAGATGAGACTGGATGTGGCACTTAGTGCCATGGTCTAGCAACCACAGCAATCATGGATCAAGGGCTGGACTTGATGATCTCAGAGGTCCTTTCTAACCTGGCTGATTCTATGATTCTATGATTCTATTGTATGAATTGGTCAGGCAGTTGTAGGTCTCTTTCAACAGAAATGGTCCATTCTTTCCTATTCTATTCTATTGTCATAAATAAAAAGAACATGGGACTGAACTTGCACCAGAAAACACACCCAGCATGGTACTTCCCAGCCACCAAGAAGCTTCTATGACAAACAGCGTTTCATGTCCTAGCCCTCCAGCCCCCATCTGAGGATGTGAGAGCTGAATTAAGCAGCTTTCTGTAAATCTGAGCTCACTCCAAGGTGGTAAAGAATGAGAAACAGTGGCTTACCTTTGCCTGCAGGGAGGCAGATGTAGGGGAACACACATTTTTTTTCAGCGTAGCCAGGCAAGCTGTGAATGGACAAGGGATGTTTATCCATATTACCCCTATGGTACTGAGCAAGAGCTTGTCTCAGCTCATGAGAAAAGCAATGCCAGTCTCCACAAGAATATTTTCCAGAGCGAGAAGGGATTTTGCAAGGGCTGGAGTACTTTACAGCCTGGAGGCAGTCACAAGCCCGGGACCGGGTACCACTGCCAGTGCTGGAGCATCTTTGGAGAGGGGAATGGGGTAAAGCTCAAGAGGCAGGAGAAAGACAAGAAGAGCAGCCACAGGAACAAGGGGGAAGATGCCGTGCTTGTCATTGGGCAACAGCAAATTTGTCCTGGTAGCAGCTGGTACTTTGGGAAAAACATCTGCCTCCTGCTCTCCACTCTGGGCCAAGGTATGGAGAAGGAGCCAGAGTCATGGCTGCCAAGTGCCAAGTAGAGACTTCCAAACTGGCCCAGCTGCATGATCTCTCACCAATGCAGGCGGCCCTCACTGTCAGTCCCATGCCCTTGGGAAGGTCCATGGCTCTGAAAAATGCAGGAGATTGATCCAATGGTCATCCTTGCCCACAGGGTTGTCATCAGGATGGGAAAGCATGAGAAACATGAGAGGTGATGGGGGCAATGAAGAAGGTTAAAGCTATGTAATGCTATAGGGATGTTAGGACACATCATCCAACCTGTTTGTCCAAGGAGCAGGTGCCTCTGTGAGGTGGCCTAAGCCCTGCCATGTGCAGAAGGATTAAAGAAATGCCAAGCACAAATGGGCTGTCCTCCTCCTGGACAATCACTGTTATTTTTCTTTCTTTATTTTTACAATGAATATTATTTATGTTATTCGTTAAAGACTTGCTAAGGAACAGGTTCATGTTCACTGGTTGATATACCTCAACATCTTTGCAATCATTTTTCACCCTTAACCCAGCTGGGGAATGGGAGGAAGTCTCAAAACAGCATGTTCTGGTGTGACCATGTTGCATGTCCATGGAGAATGTGAAAACAACACATGCTTTGTGAGGGGGTGCTAGCTGCCTGTTGGTGTCCTATTGCTCCTGGGGGGATGCTGCAGGATTTTTAGGGGACCCTTGGTCATGCAAATTCACTCCTCAAAAACCATCCTCTGTACAAAAACAGCTGGCTTATGATCATGGGTGCCTGTCAGTGGGCCAACCACACCCCGCTGTACTCACCCCCAATCTGTGACTATGTGAACAGGCTGGACTGATGGGCCAAGACCAACTGTATGAAGTTCAACAAGGCTAAGTGCCGGGTCCTGCACTTGGATCACAACAACTCCCCACAGTGCTCCAGGCTGGGGGTAGTGGGACTGGAAAGATGCCCAGTGGGAAAGGACCTGGGGGTGCTGGTCAACATGAGCCAGCAGTGTGTCCAGGTGGGCAAGAAGGCTGTATCAGCAATAGTGTGGCAGCAGGACCAGGGAAATGATTCTTCCCCTGTACTGGGCGCTGGTGAGGCCACACCAGTTCTGGGCTCCTCCATTCATAAGGACATTGAGGTGCTGGAGCAGGTCCAGAGAAGGGCAATGAATATGTTGGTGAAGGCTCTGGAGTGCATGTCCTATGAGGAGTGGCTGTGGGAGCTGGGAGTGTTTAGTCTGGAGAAGAGGAGGCTCCAGGGGGACCCTACCGCTCTCTATGACCTGAAAGGAGGTTGTAGCCAGGTGGGGGTTGAGCTCTTCTCCCAGGCAACCAGTGACAGGATGAGAGGACATGAACTCATAAAATCATAGAATATGCTGAGTTAGAAGGGAACCATCAAGATCAGTGTGTCCAACTCCTGGCCCTGCACAGGACACCCCAAGAATCCCACCAAGTACCTGAGAGCATTGTCCAAATGTTTCCTGAACTCTGTCAGGATTGGTGCTGTGACCACTTCCCTGGGGAGCCTGTTCCACTGCCCAGCCACTCTCTGGGTGAAACACTTTTTCCTGATATCCAACTTAAACCTCCCCTGACTCAGCTTCATGCCATTTCCTCGGGTTCTGTCACTGGTTACAAGAGTGAAGAGATCAGTACCCGCTCCTCCTCTTCCCCTCACAAGGAAGTTGTAACTGCAGTGAGGTCTCCTCTCAGTGTCCTCTTCTCCAGGGTGAACACACCAAGTGCCCTCAGCCGCTCCTCACACGGCTTCCCCTCCAGACCCTTCACCACCTCTGTGGTCGCTCTCTAACAGCTTAATGTCTTTTTTTATGGTTTCAAGCTGCGCCAGGGGAGGCTTAGGTAGGACACGGGGAGGAACTTCTCCACCAAAAGGGTGATCAGACACTGGAAAGGGCTGCCCTGCCCGGGCAGGGTGCAGTCACCGTCCCTGGAGGGTGTTCAAGGAAAGCCTGGACATGGCACTCAGTGCCAAGCTGTGGTTGACGTGGTGGTGGATCGGTCACGTGTTGGACGATCCCGGACGTCTTTTCCAACCCAAGAGACTCTGTGATTCTGTGACTCCCCCTCCCCGGTGAGGGCTCTCTCCTGCGCTGGTGAGGGGGGGGCGGGGGGTGTCGCGGCCCCTTTAAGCGCACGCGGCGAAAGGTGGGGAGGGGGGGAGGGAGGGGCGTGGCGCGCGGCGGCGCGCGGCGGCGGTGTGGGGGGCGTGTCCAACGGGGCGACGGGGGCGTGTCCAACGAGGCGGCGGGGGCGTGTCCCGCGCGCGGCGGGGGCGTGTCCGGCGCGGCGCGCTGAGGTCAGCGCGAGCGGCGCCGTCACAAAAGGAAGTGGCGGCGGCGGGTCCGTCAGCGCGGGGAGGGGCGGGGGCGGCTCCGGCACCTCCGGGAGCACCGGGAACAGAGGCACCGGCACCGGCACCCGCGGGGCGGCCGCGGCGGGGGCCGCGCCGCGCCATGGCCCAGCAGCAGATGAGCAGCTCGCAGAAGGCGCTGATGCTGGAGCTGAAGTCGCTGCAGGAGGAGCCGGTCGAGGGCTTCCGCATCACCCTGGTCGACGAGTCCGACCTCTACAACTGGGAGGTGGCGATCTTCGGGCCCCCCAACACGCTGTACGAGGGCGGGTACTTCAAGGTAGGGCCTTCCCCCCGCCCCCCGGGCCGCGCGGTGGGGCCGGGCCGGGGCCGGGCCTGCGGGAGGGGGCTCGGGCTCGGCCTGGGCAAGGCGGGGGGGCCGCGCCTCGGCCGCTGCCGCGCTGGGAATCTGCTCTTTTAGCCCCAAAGAGCCTCCTGCGGGACCTCAGGGAAGGGCGAGAGTTCGCCCCTCCCGCCCCAGGGTGCCCCCGTGGCTCTGGTCTGTGTGTATGTCACAGAAGCACAGGGCTGTGGCGGTTGGAAGGGACCTCTGGAGATCATCTGTTCCGTGTTTCCATATCCTTCCAGGATCTGATGGGAACTCACAGGAAGGATGGGGCAAGACTATTAAAAAGAATATGGAGCAATAGGACAATGTGTAATGGCTTCAAACAGAAAGAGAGTTAGGAAAAAATTCTTTGCTCTGAGGATGGGGAGGCCTTAGCACAGGTTGCCCAGAGAAGTTGTGGATGGCCCATCTCTGGAAGTGTTCAAGGCCAGGTTGGATGGGGATCTGAGCAACTTGGTCTAGTGGAAGGTGTCCCTGCCCATGGCAAGGGTTTGGAACCGAGTGATCCTTAAGATTCCTTCCAAGCCAAACCATTCTACAGTTCTATGATGATATTTATTTCAAAGGAAGGGACATTCCAGCCATCCCTCGATAGTTTCACTCATCGATGGCTAATTCAGGATAAAGGCTGTGTTTTCCTCAGAACTTCATGGGTTTCAGGGCTGTTTTACATGATTATTTTTTCTACTCCTGTTTTCTTCCTCTCCAAACTTTCAGAAGGCAGCCTTCAAAGGGCTGCAGCAACACGTATTGGGTGAAGGCAGATAAATGCTTTCAATTCCTCTCTCAGCCTTCCTGTTAATACAAAAAAAACTTTTGTGGTTGTTATTTCCACTCTTGTACATACAGCAAGTAAAAAATCTGGCACAGCTATCCCAGAAAAGAACTGAAGGGAGCAGACTTAAATTATCAAAACAACTGGAGAAGGAGGAGTTGCACTTTTTTTCTTAGAACAAGCAATTGGAAGACCTTAGAGTGTGCAGAAGATATGCTGTATCAGGCGCACTTCTGTGTACTTGATGTCTGCTTGGTCTCTGCAAAATATTGTCCCCACCAGCTTGCTTCTCTCAGCAGTTAACTGTTTTAGTTGTGGCTCCTGCATCTCTTATTCCATGCCCTTTGGCTTCTGTCAAACTGAAGAAAATTTTGGATGGTGTCTTCGCTTGACTAACGTGTACCTTTGGTGCCTCTTGGCCTCTCCAGGTCAAGGTTTAAAAGCTTTGTTCCACAAAACCAAAATAACCTGTAGCTTGGGGAATAATAGATTTGAGTCACGTTCAGTTTGGCCTCATTGTTTGGGAGGAAGGGAAGGCTTTGGCACAAGGCTTGCCTTTTGTAGTGAGTTGGCTGGCTTACTCATGTAGGTGTGATAGGTGTATTCTTAGAGTCACCTCCATTATTACTTATTCAGGAAGTCGCTCCAGTCGTTGGTTGGTAACAGTGTCATCTTCACATCCGAATGGTCTCGTGACCTCTTCCTGCACTTAAATTACTCATCCATTTTTTTTTCAAAGAAATCGTAACGGATCAAAATATGTTTGCTTGGTTGGGGAACTCTCTGGAGTGTGCGTTTGCAGTTGTTCCTGGAGAGAACCTGAAGCAGCCTGTGAAATAATTTGGGGATGTGTGTTAACAAGTATAGATTTAGGCAAGGTTTCCAGTTGCCTTACCTCAGTATCATGACTGTGCTGTCCTTTGGAGTATTTGATGTCCTTGAACTGTCGTGCCTTTCTTCTAAATTCTTTTCACCAGTCCTGTGATACTTATTTTGAGAGTGGGAGGCTGAGGTCTGGTGGTGCCTCCACCCCTCCAGAGCAGCAGTATTCCCTTTAAGTAGCATGGCTGAAGTCTCTTGTGTGTTGTTTCTCTCATCCTGCCTCCAAGAGTAGCTCTGTGGGGTGGGTTTTTGTAGTGTCTGATCTTCGCTTATGTATTCTGACTTCTGAGCCACTGAAAAAGTGGTCTTGGACCTTCATTCTGTCCCTAGGGAGAAGTGATGTTCATGGCTCTCTTTATATTAGGCCTTCAGATGCATAAGACGTGGCTTATGAAGTCATTCAGAGATCAGATTAATACCCAAACTTTATTTGATGAGTGACTTCAATGATGTATTGATAGTATATGCTGCTCTGAAGTAGCGCTCACCTTGCATCTGTTTCATTTCTTGCATTTCTTGACGTGATGAAATATCCAGCTTCATCTTGTTTTGTATTTTTAGTTTACTAAGGCTAGGTAAGCAGGATTAGAAATGTGCAATTACAGGATGTAGCTTTTTTTCAGCTTTGTGGCAATTAGAGTTTGGGAACTGTCTTCCACTTGAAGTGTGGTTTAAGGGTAGGAACCGGAGGGGAAGAACAAAGGCTTCTATTTAAGCTACAGTATAAATATTTTGAGGAAAACCTGTGTTTAAAGTGACCTTAATAAAGAAAGTGTTAATGATTGTTGATAAGGAATACAGATGCATGATTTGTGCCTGTGGAAATCTTGGAGCTGTTAACATCAGATTTTGGCGTCTTGGGGAAATACAACCTTTCTCTCTGGGTTGTTGGAATAGCTGAATAAACTGAAAGGAGGAAAGTGCTCTCTCTGCACCTCCTTGACAGGAGCTACTGCTGTCTAAAGCTGGTTCAACATTTGAACAGACTCTGGTTTCAGTTGCAAATCCTGTAACTCTAGCATTTGATAAACTGAAGCAGAAAACAAGTCCCCCTGAATGTTTGTTTAAATGGTAGGTTATCAACATGCTGCCTGTAATAAAGTTGGGAACTTCTTAAAAATTCAGGCACAGCATCTAAGCATATTTTTTCAGCTAGTATACCGTGCTCAGTCTGCTGCAGTGCTTCAGAGTTTAGGATTGCCAGCTAGATGGAAAGGGCAGCAGCCTCCAGGAGCAACAACAGTGTGAAGAGCATCTTGTACCAGCAAGGGATGATCCAGCAGCCTCCCCCTCCTCTGTGTGATCAGCTGAAGTTGGACATCTGCAATGGAGATTATATCAACTTTTGTCTTACCTAGTTACTGTATTCCCAGTCATACTCAATAGTTTCTAATGTTCTGGGCAATGCTTTGTTTAGGTTCCACATTACCATCCTTCAGGAAGGAGTCGAGCTGTTCCATGCACTGGTTACTTCTCATTCCTCACTGGCAAGGCAGAAATAGCTCAGGGGCAGTGATGTTAAATCCTACAAAGGAGTTAAGAGCCAATGTCTGTCCCTCAGTTGCTGTCAGGAAGAAATTGCGTTTGACTAAAGTTCTGGCAGAATCAGTTGTGTTGGGCTACAGGCACTTGACTGCAATAGATGAACTTGATTTTTGGTCCCGGACTCATTCACAGAGTTTAAGGGTAAAATGCAGGTAGACCTTGTGTGTCTAAGGTGTTGCTCACATCTAATTCAGTTACTGAGGTTTTTTGAGTGAGAAAAGCAATATTTTTCTCAGAATGAAATGCTTTGTGTTCAGGTCAGAAGTGGTGACACTTCTTTCTTAGGTCAGCTGGGATAATACAGGTCTTTAGATCAGAATCCACTGGCCTATGTAATAGTTCTGAATTGCTCTGGAAGTGATTGGAATGTGTTATGGTTTTGCAGGCAGTGCCTGAGCAGCAGAGAACCAGATTGTGCCGCCATCTGCAGAGCTAGGTGTGATTCCACCTTAATGCCATAGTCATCTTCTGTTCATCTGATAGGGTCCTTTGCTATGTGGCAGGAGAACTTCTTCATCCTTAATTTTGGCTGATACTTAAATGGGGACCACAGCAACGAAGGTGGTTACGCTGTAGTCTGGTGATGATGGGTGTGAGTTGGGATAGATCTCAGTGGCTAAGGGCTGTGTGTGGTGAAACCTTCACCATCTCAGGTGACAGTTCATATCTCTGTCTTGAAATCCAGTGTCTTTCTTTGATGCTTGAGCTTTCAGAGCCTGGAGGCTGATGAACCTCTGCCCAATGCCTTGATCGAGTGGTGTTTTCAGAACACTTGCAGGACTATTAGAAAGTGTCTCCTGATGGCTTACTCAAGGTCCTGAATGTTTGGTGCCATTGCACCTTAGCACCACAGTGTTTGATTGTTTTTTAAAAAAGGCAGTTCTTCTAATTTTTTTTAGTTGGATGGTATTCTTGTGCTGGGAGCCAGTGTTTCAGTGGAGGTACAAGTGAGAAATTATACAAATAGAAACTTCCTTATTGAGCATATAGCACTATCCAGAAGCACAGTTTGACCAAGCACACTGTGTCAAGAAGCATGTTTAATGTAGAGCAAAAGTCAATATTAAAAGCTCCTTCAGAGGTGATTCAGGCTGGGTAAATTAGAATTAATACACCTAGCATGAAATGAAATGAGAAAAATTAACTACATTGTTAAAGTTACTATTTGATAGTTCTTAAGGCAGTTCTTTTCATAAAGTATTTTTCCTGCTTGAAGGAACAAGCCTTGACACATAAGTTGGAAGGGGAAAAAAACACCAAGCATTATGATTGGTTTTGTCAGGCAATTTGGGGGCTAAATACTTGTCAAGGCATTGTTATCCTTGCTTTTTGTTACTCATTAACCCTATGCTATATGGAGTTCTGTATTGTTGGATCTCAGCTTCTTCCAAGTGATTTGATTGCAAAGTGATTTGCAGTATTTGTTAATATTTCAGAGCAGGAAATAGAGAACTTACAGATAACTAATGGCAAGAATGAACACCATGTTTAAAAGTTTGGTATTATAGTCTACTTCTCAGAAAGCTGAAAATTAAGCAAATAAAAGTTTCCTAAGCACTTATATAATTGTATAACTTGTAGAACATTTAACTCCACAAAAATTTACTTGATTCCAGGGAAAAACGTGTGGTACTCTGAGCACAAGAGCTGCTTTCTGCAGGCCTCTGTATTGCAAGGTGCTACAGGGTTTCTCTCTGAGTACTTGGTCTCCTATTTTTGTTGCCTTTAG